AGTGTCCTTTAATATTTATAAGTGTTGCATGAAAAAGCCAGGTGAGGGCTACTTGCTTTTGTCAGATGCCAGATGCCTCATTAGGAAGCAGACTTGGTGCTGGGATCAGGGAGAGCTGCTAATTGGAGGTGTAATACACTTAGATGAAAGGAATAACTATACTAAGGCATTATCTTACGCATACTCCCTTCTCTTTATATACATTGTCTTTACACATTCAACTTCAGCTAGGTTAATCTCTCATATCCCCATTAACATCTCTCTCTCCATTCCCTGCCAGCAGCCTTTGTTTTGTCTCCACCATTTCTCTCATTAGAGGATTGATTTTTTTTTTGTCAGAATCTAATTATTAGGTTGGTTGGTTGTCTATCTCAAACTAGATAAGATAGATGGTTGGCTAGACAGATAGATAGCAAGACAGCCAGACAGATATAAGTGTATCTGGTGAACATTAGGAAGATGATGAAACTATAAAAATATATGATACTAAAATTTCTGCGAAAAGTTAACAAAATAAAATATCTAATTTTGATCCTCAACTTTCCCCTCTAAAACTACATTATTGGTATTTTGAGGGGAAATGGCATGAACCCCAAAGATAGTGAAAGAAGGTATCAAAGGACCCAACTTTGAGTGGGTAGAGAAACAAATGGTAATAGACCTGATACACTTGAAAAGCCAAACTGCAAATGACATTAAGTAAATAAAGGAACAAGTTGAGCACACACTTGAGTGCTAACAGGCTCAATAATGTGTGACACCTCTAGAAGGGGGCTGGAGAACTGACTTAAACAACACTGGTGGGACGAGGGACAAGTGAGTCATGTGAACTCCTGACCACACCCCATAACCCCCTATGCATGTGACTGGTAGAGGAGTATTGTCCCTATCACACTATGTCCAAAATCTAGAGGCACAGGTTCCAGAGAGGGGGAAACATTCTGCTGCACACAGTTAACAGTGGGCACAGACCCTTAGAAACAGGAGGAGCCTGTGACTGAACACTGACTACATAGGCTCTTTCCCTCCACTTTAACGTCCAGATGAGAGAAATTAGAGTGTGATTCACTCCCTTCCCAGTCAAAAACATCATTCAGTAACACTGTCGGAAAAGCTGGCCTTCCATTACATGTGGTCAGCAGGCCTACCAACAGAAGCAGAGTTGCTGAACAACCTAATAGTCTCTCCACTGTTGAGTCTGCATGGCCACAAATGACCAGAAAGGTGAGGGAAAACTCTAATCAGAAATAGGGAGGTAGAAACGAGAAAAGCAACCTGAAAGGGCAGTCTATAGGGAGAAAAAAACTTTTAAGAAACTTTGCAAGACATGCCAGGCATGGAGGTGCACACCTTGTTCAGCCCAGCATTTGAGAGACTGAGGCAGATTCAAGAATTCTAGGCCAGCCTGGAATACACAATAATGCTAACCCTGCCCCCCAAATAAACCCACACAGATAGTCCTTTACTTATGATAGCTTGACTTCGAATCTTCAAAAATTAGGATGGCTAGGAAGCATGATGTATTTGACTTGGAATGTTGAGCTTCCCCCAGACTAGTACATACTTTTTGAAGACACCAGGCAGCAGCATGAAACTGCAGGTCTCAGCCAGCCCCACCGTCATGGTGTGGTGTGTGTGTGTGGGGGGGTACTGACACACTAGTATAAGTTGTGATGTTCAATTGCTGGGTCTATAAAGTGTATATATAACATTTGCAGCATATAATGAATTTACTGGGATGGGAACCATATCAAACATCTTAGCCTGTCTGTAATGAACTTCCACTTGTGACCATGGCAAACTGCCACGGGTCATATTTACCTTTCTGCTCTAGTCAATTTAAAAACTTGGGGAAAACTGAGAAAACTGGTTTTGGATACTGGCAAATAGGCAGCACCCTCCTGAGAGGGTGCCCCATCCATACCAAAGCCAATCCTATTTACCTTGTTTAATGAGGAAAGAGATCAGAGTTAAGGCAGTTAAAAGATGCATGGCAGAGTTCTAAAGAGGATGCCCCTACACAGAAAAAGTTCCAGAAATCCTTCATAGGCCTCCTTCTGTGTCTTTGTCAGATAGTATGGTGCACACGTGCAGTGTGCAAGCCCATGATAGGGAAAAGCAAGAATGGGCTGGGAGTTGGAGTTCCCAGATTTCATACAGGACATGTAACTCCAAAATTCCAGCATTCAGAGATCTGGATATGGTGGTTTATGCCTGTAATCCCAGCATGCTGGAGGCTGAAGCAGGATGATAGGCAGCTTGGGGACAGCCTGGGCAACATAGACCCTGTTTCGGACTATTTGTTTACACTATAAAGGGGTGTCTCTGCTTGAGGCACCTTCTGATTATGGTTGATAGTGAAGCAGGAAAGAATAGGTGGGATTTGTGGGTGCACACAGACAGAAACGGGGAGGAGGAAATCTAAACACTCATTTCTTGGATACCTTATTAAGAAGAGCTGAGCCACGTGGCAAAATGTAGAGTTAAACAAATATGGGTCAATTAAGTTATAAGAGCTAGTTGGGAAAAAGCTAAGGCCAAGTCCTCATAATTAATATTAAGTCTCTGTGTCATTATTGGGAAGCTGGCAGTTCCACAAAAGAGAAGTCCGATTGTATTTGAGAAAGCTTGTTATAAGACCCTGTCCAAATACCTAGCATAGAGTGGAGGAGCCTCACTGACAATACGGCCTTAGAAGTAATCCTGGAAGGATCACACCTTCATTCTGGAGCCAAACTATCCTTAGAGTGAGGGTTACTGTGCATCCTTCCCAACAGAGCTAAGGAAAATATGTCAAACAGCAAGCTAAACCTAACACAGTTCCTCATGAGAACAAAGCCTAACACATCCCTTTCAAGAAATACATTTAACATTTGCCAGATTTATTGTAGGCCTTTTGTTACTTTAGTATGCTAAGGAATTTCTTTCTGTTCCAATTCAACAGCAATTTTCATTATAATGGAATTTTAAAAAATACATCATTATTTACATATCTGTGTATTCATGTGGTGTGCGCTTACATTTGTATAAGCAGAGGTCAGAAGAGGGCATTGGTATTGCCTCCACCATTTTGCTCTGTTCCTCTGAGGCAGGGTTTCTTCTTGAACCTGGGGCTTGAGTCTCTGCTAGGTTGGAAGTGCTTCAGGGGCCCTCCTATTTTGCCCTTTGTGATCCTGGGATTATAGACATTTGCGGGGGAACACCTAGGTTATTTAGTGGGTGTTAGAATCTGAATTCTTTCCTGTACAACTGTGGAGCAAGTGTTATTAAGTGCTGGGTCTGGCCCCCAACCACTGAAATCAAATAGTTTTTTACACTTTGAGATCATCATGTAGCCTTAATTTTCTAATGTATGTACCTTTAATAGGTTTTAAAAATGTCAGCCAACGTTGAATTTCTAGAATAAGCCCTCACTGGTCACAAAACATTGTCTTGTGTTGCTGGATTAGTTTTCTAATATTTTCCATCTTTGGTCTGGAGATTGCCTGTTTAATAACATTTTAAATATTCTTTCAGAAATAAAGATTTATTTTTATTTATGTCTGTGTGAGTCTGCATGTGTGTGAAGGAGGCTGTGGAAGCCAGAGGTAAGGCTGAGTCACCACATACTTGCTGAGAAGCAAAACCAGTCCTGGGTAAGAGCGGTATGAACTCTTAAATGTTAGTCAAGGCTAACCTTTTAGTCTCTAATCCTCCTGCAACTACCTTGGAAATGCTGAATTAGTACATCAAATGTATATGGTACTAGTAACCAAACCCAGAGCTTCATGTACCCAGCCAAGTGCCTTATCAACTATTGTTATTTCCCAGATTTTAAATGTTTTATGATAAACTTCTCTGGCTTCTTCACATTGGGAACTCAAGGTCACATATTTAGTCTTTGGGTCACTTTAACTACAAGCATTTTAACAAGCAGAGCATCACTGCCATCTGGTGGAAATGCCTACTGTTAGCACACTGAAAAAGGTTCACTGTGCTCCAGCCTTGCCACTAAGGAAATCAGCCCTGAAATTTCTCACTGCAACTCTCAAATTCGTATCTTTATTTCCCTTCACTCACTACTATCTTAGTTCAGCTTTAACTTTATTATTGGTTAAAATCACTACTTTGAAGCAGGCCCAGATTCTACTTTATATGCAGATAGTCTGGAATGAGCAGTATGCCTGGAAGTAAGAATAAAACAGAAATCCAATGACTGTTAATTTTAAAAGCACTCCATTCCCTAAAGTTACCTAGGAAAAAGCAAAAGCATACCACTTGCTACACTTTCTACATATGAACAGACTGATAAATGACTATCACACACATTAATTTGTCTTGTGGGTTTGCCCAGAAAGCTTAACACTTAAACCAATGACATTGGGAGAATAACCACAGGGCTAGGAGTGGGAGGGCAAAAATAAACAAACCCAAGATCAAAACAGCTCATCCCATACTGAAGAGTAATTGTTCTAAGGGTCCAGAATGCCAGCAGATGTGCCTGGGTGGGTCCTGCTATGACTTCTTTCTCTGTGTTAAGATTTGGTTTAAGAATACCAATGGTCAGAGAGGTCAGCTTGGTCTACAGGACAGCCAAGGCTATGCAGAGTGACCCTGTCTCAAAACACCAAACTGATTACAATATGGGAGGTTATTTTTTTTTGTCCTGCTAGATATTATTTGTATTTTGCATTATTCTGTAATCTTCCTGATAAACACAAATAACAAAGCACCCTTGAAAAATCTTGTGGATAAAATGAAGAATTGGTCTTCACAGTAATTTTAAAACAATAGGCAATGTCTACTTTTTCATTATTTATAGTGGCTCCCACACATAAATAAGTACACAGTGATACTTACTTAAGATACTACAGTCGAAACAGAATATCCTTTTGGTCTCCTGATAGGCTAGGGGTTTTAAAGATAGGAAGCCTAAATCTAAGAAGGCAATAGAAGAAAAGCCTTCATTTGGAACCCCAGAACAGTCTCCTGGCAGTCTACAGTAACATCATTAACACACACAGAGCCAAATGCTTGTTTTATTGATTTCCTGAGTGGGGCAAGGTAGGGTGGTGAAGAGGGTTAAAAAGGTTTGTTTCCAGCTTCAAAGGACACTCATTCCCAAACAGACCTTCATCCTGACTACGTGTGAACAGACACTGTTCCTTCTGCTTTCAGGACACTTGAATTTAAGATGCTGTGGACAGAATGCTTCTCTCTGAAATGCAGTGCACCCATCTAGACAGATGGGCACTCCATGGGCTTTGTTCACAGGAGACAGGGACTGGCACTTTAGCTTCAACAACATTTACAATAAAAAATCGCAACTTGTTTGACTTGTGGCAGGACTGGTTACTAAGGGACCATTCAGCAATAATTTTCTTGAATATCTATAGCTAATGAAAATGCATTTAACCAAGGGACTGCTGATCCTAAGAACTGTGACATTTGTGAGTAAGGAAGGAATTCTAAGTCTGGATATCAAATTCAGAGCAAAGTATCAGTAATTTCAGATTGCAATATCTATAAATAAAATACATGGATCAGATAAGAATTATATGAATAATGTTAAATAGAAAGTGCATATGGAACTCAGGAATACCTTTTCCGTTAATTTTGTCACTTATTCTAGTTCAGTAAAATGCTCACAAGGAATAACCTCTTAAGGCAGAAGCCTGGTTATAACACTGCTGTTCAGAGCTTCATGATAGCAAATGCATGGATATTGATCAATTTCCCTGCTTTAGACTGACACTCATCTTGAAGCAGGTTATTTTGTAAGATGGAACATCCATGTTATACCTTGAGAAGTCAAGGCAGAAAGTACAACTACAGAAGGTCAGAGGGTTCACCAGAGCATCTAGACAGAGGTCTGTTTGTAGTTTTTGGTGTCCAGAACCTTTTTTCCACACATGGCACAGATGCCTGAAACAAAAAGAAAACATATAAGCAACCAAGTAGTACCAGCTTTTGGTTTCCTTATGTTAATATAAACTTAAAACCACTTGGCGGGTGTGGAGAGAAGGCTCAATGGTTAAGAGCACCTACATTGCAATCATATAAACTAGAGTTTGGAGTTCAACATTTACATATCCTCGAAAATGCCCACAATTCCAGATCCAAGTGGGGTGGAGACAGGAGGATCCCTGGGGTCTGTCTGCTGGTTTCCCCAGAAAACAGGAGCCACTGGTTCAGGGAGAGACCCCACCTCAAGAAAGAGGAGGTAAAAAGCACAGAGGAAGAAGACATATGGCGCCCTCTTTTGGCTTCTGCATGAATGCCTAAGTGTGTCTCACGCACATGTGTACACACACATACACACACAAGTAGAATCTTTAAGAACTTCACAGCAAAGAAAAAAAAGAAACATCCATTGACTACAAGTATATTTTAAACTATCTTGTTTTAGGAAAAAGAATATTTGACTAACAATTTATGAAAGGCTACTCCTTTCTGTTATCCAAGTCAACATCAAATTGAATAGATCTGATATAAATAGAAAAATTAACTTAAAGAAACTTACCTTTTTTGTAGGCACAGCCTTGACAGTAATGAGAACCAGGCTGGTGTACAGAGCTTTTACAAATTCTGCAAGTGGAGAACTTATTCTTTCCATATGGATCAAACCTATAAAGTTTAAAAAAGAAGAAAGATATTGGTACTACAAACTCTTAACTCGTGGTAAGCAACACCTATGACTAATGTATACACCATCATTTCTCCCATCAAATTCTGTGACTGACAGAGCCCTTCTCTGTAATATGCCTGCATTCCTCTGCCCTTCCATGTAAGCTGTATATTTATGAAGCCCCAGTTGTATTTATTTTCAGACCCGTTCCTATGTCTTGTAGGTGTCATTCTATTTATGTGACAAATACAAAAATTGATGAAATGTCAGTACAAGAAATGACTAAGTCTACCAAAAAACCCAAGTATCTGCTTTAGGGTGACTAATTATGAACTGTTTTAACTACTGTTGAATCAGGTATGGGTAAGCCAACTACTAAACATTACAAATATTTTGTGAGTGTTTGTGTATGTAAGTATGCCACATGTGTGCAGTAGCTGTGGGGGCCAGAGGGTTTGGGTCCTGCCGAGCTTGGGTTACAGGTGGTTTTGAGCTGCCTAAGGTAGGTGCTGAGAACTGAGCTCAGGTAATCTCTCCCAGGACCAATTCCTTTCCTTGCCTTTCTTTTGAAAACCCAGGCTGGATGACCCTGAACTCCTGATTCTTTTATCACCAGGACCTGAGCACTGGGATCATGGGCACGTGCCATCCATCACACCTGGCTTAGTTCTTGGTTCACTGAGGTGTAGAATATATACTCTGGTGATGGTTTATGTGAGGAAAATGATATAAAATTCCCGTCAGGCTTTACCTCTATACCAAATGACAGATGAATGCATCCACAGTTTATGTGTTAAGATAAAATACGGTATGTACATGCATTTTTAACTGATGGGCCTAATCCCTTCGAATGAAGGGTTTCTGCTATGTGAACATGGTATCCTATAGGAACCATAGGGCAAATAACTTTAGAAGAAACAGTTCTCTCAAAACTGGCAATAATTCTCTAACTTAAAACTGTTTGCCCAGCTCCAAAATGACTACTTATATTTTCTCTGTGTAGCATCATAGTCCTGGTATGCTGTCTGGGGTATAGTTCAGGAGCTCCTTTTTTTTTTTTTTTTTTTTTTTTTTTTTTTTTTTTTTAACTTTTTTTCTTCTTTTTTTTTTTTTTTTTAACTTTTTTTCTTCTTTTTTTTTTTTTTTTTGGTTTTTCGAGACAGGGTTTCTCTGTGTAGCGTTGGAGCCTATCCTGGCACTCACTCTGGAGACCAGGCTGGCCTCGAACTCACAGAGATCCGCCTGCCTCTGCCTCCCGAGTGCTGGGATTAAAGGTGTGTGCCACCAATGCCTGGCCAGGAGCTCCTTTTTTTTGTTTTGTTTTGGAAACCTTTTGCCTTCATTTATTTTTATTTTATGTGTACGGGTATCTTGTCTGCATGTATGTCTGTGTACCATGTGTGCAGTGCCTGTGGAAGCCAGAAGAGCACCGGATATCCTACTGGAGTTACAGACCCCTGTGAGCCACCACATAGGTGCTGGGAATTGAACCCAGATCCCCCGGAAGAGCAGTCAGTGCTCTTAACCACTGAGCCCTCTCTCCAGCCCCATTATTTTCTATATTAAACAGACCCCCTTTGCTTGCTTGTTTTTATTTTAAGATGAATCTGGTTACATAACCCAGCAGGTCATGGGATTTACCGTCTTCCTATCCCATTCCCCACATGCTGGGATTACTAGCATGCACCGCCACTGCCAGGCAACAGGTCACCTTTAAAGGTTAACTTTCCTAAACTCAAGACCAGGACTCTGCTCCCACAGAGTAAACGTGTGGAGTCCTTCTCTCAAACCATACTTTTATTGTTCTAAGACGACACTTTAATTCCTGAACTCTCATGATTAATTGGCAGAGTTTTTCTCTTCTTCCTTTCTCTTTAAGATTCCATTAATTTTTAAAATTCTGTCAGTGTGCATGTTTGTATGGGGGTGGTGATTGTGCTGCTATGGTCAGAAGATGGCAGTGGATGCCCTGGAACTGTAGTTAGAGTGGTCGTTGGATGCCCAAACTGAACTCAGGTCCTCTGGAAAACAGTGCTCTTAACCACTGAGCCATCTCTCCAGCCTCCCAGTTTCTTGCTTCTTAGAAATAATGGCATTGGAAATTCAATGCGATACAGTAGTGTAATTTCTCAAATAAGCTAGCTAGAGCACTCAAAAGTAACAGCCACACTTCAGAAATAAGGAACTGAAGGTATATGAAGTTGCAAAATTCATATAAATCACCAGTGAAAAACTGAATGGTCTTAGGAAACACCAAGTCAATTGACAATACAGAGCATGATGCTATGCCGAACATTAGGCCTATTATGCTGTTTTGTCAATTTTTTAGTAAGTACCTACTATGCAGGAGCCACTTTATATATAAAGTAAACACTTTATTATTATTATTTCTTTTAATCATTGGGATGATGCCACACAATGGCTACTTATTCATTTAACAAATATCTACCAACTACTTACTGTATCCAAATACTGTTCTAAATACCAAAGAAGAACATTACAAATTCCCGCCCTCAAGAAACTCATAGAAAAAATAAAGACAATCCAATAAAACAAGTTTTTCGGATAAGCAGTGAGTGTTACAAAAAGAATCCCAGCTGAAAGGTGTAGGGGAGCAGAGATAAATACTGGTTAAGGAGCCCTCACTGAAAAGCTCACATCTCAGCTTCAGCCAAGTAACAAGCAGTCAGGCGGAAGCTAGGAGCAGCAAACATAACCCACTTCAGGTGAAAGCGGGATTGGCAAATCTAATGAGGATGTTACATGGAGAACTTGGATTCTATTCTACAATGGAGGGCTTTAAGCAAAGGAATTCTATGACCTTCTAAATGATCACTCTGGCTAACAACCAGTCAGAGTGGTAAAAGGAAGCAAGCAAATGGGATAGCAATGGGAAGGGTTCATGCAAAAATGTAAACTGTATATGATGAGGTATGGTGTCAAAATCTTATTTTTAAGACGGGAGACATTTTGTCCTCATTCTCAAATGACAAGATACAATTCATAAAGGGTAAGAACCTGCAGTAGCATGCTCCAGGTCATGTGACTACAGAGATACAGAGTCCAGTTTTAAATTCAGGTCCAACTCCAAAGCTTATGACTTTCCCACATTTCCTTGGTGCCTTTGATTTGTAGGCAAATTAACACGTAGATCAAATAGAAATCATGTTTTCTGGTAAACTAATACAAAGCAGCACTAGTATCTTCATATACTGGCAGAGGGTGGAGGAATAGCTCATAGCAAACAGGCTGCTGTTGTATGCCAACATCGCCTAACTCGACCACAATGGGATCAGGCAAAAGTTCAGATCAGTAGCCTTGCTATTTAAAAAGTCACCTTTAGGACTGCCCTAGGGATGTTTCCACCTACCTTGCTTTTTTCGAAGTCAAAGCTTTGTTTTCATTCAGCTTCCTTCCACCACTTTCTATATATTAAAAAAAAAAAAAAATGCAGACATATAAATTTACTTCTATGCATCTAACATATAATGTTAAGTATGCATACACACACACACACACACACACACACACACACTATATGCTCAGGAATTAGCTTTAAAGTTCACTTTTTGACTTTCTACTAATAAATTACCCTTTATCTGATTTTTTTAAAAAAACCCTCCTATAATAGCTCAGTTCTTAGTAAACACTTGTATGAAATATAATTGCTTTATTACTTAGTCCCAAAGTAGTGTTTTGGCAATAGCCTACATTTTCTTTGGATCTGTAACATCTTTCTACTTTGATAGTATAGACTGAACACAGAAAAACATTGGGCTTCCCCCACTTTTGAATATATTCTTTGCTATATGTGTTTTTTTGTTTGTTTGTTTTTCAGAGACAGGATTTCTCTTGTAACACTGGCTGTCCTGGAACTTGAAGTGCATGCAGACCAGGCTGGCCTTGAACTCAAGAGATCTGCCTGCTTCTGCCTCCCAAGTGCTGGGATTAAAGGTGTGCATCAACATGCCTAGTTCAAATTTGTTCAAGAACATAAAATTTAGATGTGGGAAGGAAATTTAAATACAGACCTTATTAAGCTGAATCAAATAGACACACACTGAAATAATTTAATAATTTTACTACGTGTGGACTACATTAGGAATCCATATATGTCACTAAGATGATGAAAAAGAAAGAAGATATAAAATCACAGGGGAAACCCAGTACTCCTTATTGTTTAATCGATGAGATAAACTGCACTTAACATTTTATTTTGCTAATAGTGAAACACTAAAGCAGTGTCCATAAGTAATTGATCCAGTTGCTATTTCCGAATAGGGAACAATACCTGTGGTGTTCCGTGCACCATCTTTCCATGTATCTGGAGTGATAACTGTGCCGAGTTTCTTTTCACCTGTTGTAGGAAGATAGCAAAAGGGAAGTAGAATTATCATCTAATAAACATACTATGTGGAAATTAAATAATGAGCCCATTTCTAACTTTAAAATAATAATTTAAAATAATAAATATCATGCCTGTGGTTCATAATGATATCAAGTCAGATTACAGTAGGAACCTACTAACTGGGGTGGAAACGAGTGAATGAAGACTTAAGATAGTAACTGTGGGCAATGGATAACTGATTCTGAATAAGATGCTTTCACTGTTTATACTTTGAACAATTCTGACAAACTTATTCACTCCTTCAACATTTCCTAATCACCTAGTATGTACAAAACACTATGAAAGATAATGATGAAAATAAAACCATGAATCCAGATTTTAGGGGGTTTATATCCAAATTCACTAGTTTCCTAAGAGCTTATAGACAGATCATAGGAAATAAATGAACCAGATAGAACTGCACACAAATCTAATATGTGTGTTTCTATTTTTTCCTTAAATATATATATACATATATACACACATATGTATACATATATACTCACATATGAATATATATATATTTATCAGTATTCATCAGATTTTCAAAGTGATCAGAGACTTTAAAAAAAGTGAAGAACCCTTCAGTAAAAACATAAGCTGGAAAAGAAAGTATAATAATAGTGAGCCAATTGAGACAGTTTAAGCATCTAGCAATGCAAATATGAAGAAGATGAAGTCAAACTACACAGACAAAGACATATCCTGAAGAAAGGAATGGGAAGTTCAGGGTGTACATCAGACCTAAGGTAATCTGGCTAACTCAAGTGTGAAAGGGATAAACACTGGTGAAAATGAGGTTGGAAGGGTAAGCCAGGGTCTTATCTGTAAAGGGTCTCAAACATCCAAAATAGGCAGAGTTATTTTTTATTGTTTAAGTAAGGAAAAGGTCAGGGTGGAGAATCGAATTTGATTCTCAATGGTATAGATGTGTTAGCTGAGGCAAACACTCCCCAAAGACTTAATGGAGCCAGAGAAATAAAGTAGACCAAAAAACAAAACAAAACAAAACAACCCAAAAAGAACAAAAAACCCAAAACAACAACAGCAAAACAAATATAAAAAAAACAACAAAAAACTGCAAAATAAAAACAATAAAAAAAAAAACTTCCTGTAACTTGGTAAATGGAAGACTACTGGTATAAGTTTAAAAGTTCTTTTAGTAGTATGGAAAATCAGTTTGTACTTCTAAAGTTATAAGAAGTAACTCCAAAAATCTGGAGAAAAACAAGGTTTTTGAACAATTTATGACACAAGGAAAGACAGAACTGTGGTGGTCGCCTGACATTATAGCTTTTGTATGAGCAAGATTTCAGCTTACGTGCAGGGTGAGTATGATGAGCAGACCAGGAGGTTAAAAATAAGAAAACCTTAGGGGACCCCCCCACCCCCGAAAAGCAGAGAAGTAAATAGTAGGAGGGGGAGAGATGACTTTTTACCAAACACATTAAAGTCCAAAATATGTGCATTTTACGTTAACACCACAATGGATCTTGGATTCTCAAAATTTTTATGTTCCTTGGAGATATTAACTGACAATTTCCTACTATCCTCAATGTCTGCTGGGACAAAGCACTTAAAATATAAAGGGAATTACAAACAAGTGCAAGTAGACAGAACTTTTGTCATCTATTATTAAATGTACAAAACTGACAAAAATTACAAAGAAGACCCATATTACACAGCATAAAAGGGTAGGTACACAATATAAATACATTTAAGCCACAGTTAATCAAACATCTCCCCCACTTTCAAAATGAATTAAGAAAATGCTGCTTAAAGATGGAGGCTAGGCCTGATGGCAGAGGCCTGTAATTTTTGCTACTTGGGGTTGTCTGTGCCCAGAGTTTTATCAGGGGCTATAAACAAAACGGATCACGTACATTAGACAATAATTGGGATACAGAATTAGAATCTTGTGTCTAGCCCGAGGAAAAGAGAGTGAGACAGGAAAGCTTTTTTTTTTGGTTTTTCGAGACAGGGTTTCTCTGTGGCTTTGGAGGCTGACCTGGAACTAGCTCTTGTAGACCAGGCTGGCCTCGAACTCACAGAGATCCTCCTGCCTCTGCCTCCTGAGTGCTGGGATTAAAGGCGTGCGCCACCACCTCCCGGTTCAGGAAAGCTATTTTTAAACCAACCAACAGTTTTTGCGGTTAAAAAAATCAAATATTTTCAACAAACCTCACAGGTTTCATTACAATTATTGAATGGTAACTAAAAGGTTTTAAGGTAACTAAAAAGTCAGAGGTGACTACGATGATGAGACTTTCTTCTTCCCCTGACCCAATGCTGAGGGTATTAATGAAAAGAATGGACGGGATGGTACAAAATATCCAGTTAAACTTAACATGTATTAAATGTTGCATGGCTTTTTTTTAATGTCAAGATTCAAACACTTCAGGGACATATTAATAGCACTAGAAATGATTCCTTGTTTATAGTCTTAAAACGTTAACTGAGAGCCTGCTACCGGAAAGATTTCGAAGATCCGTTTTAAGCCTCCGGGAACCAAGTCAAGAAGCTGCAATTGAAGAGACGCAGGAGAAGAGCAACAGAAACAAACACAGAGGTGCAGGCCTGGCCTGACACCGTTCTGAACACTATGTATGGAACTACATAGTCCCTGGGACAGACCAGAGTGACGGAGGGAAGACAGAGGTCACAGCCAGAGACCCAGGCAGAAGCAGCGAGGGCCGAGATCGCGTGGGAATTTCGTCAGGCTCCCCCGGCATCCTCCTCCCACAGCAGCGGCCCCTTGACTTACATTTTTCGCACACCATCCTTCCACGAACCGTCTCCTCCAAAAGACATCAACAACACAGCCTGAGAACGCTTCCCCTTCCGGCTACGTCAGCTCGCTTCCGATCTCCCCGCTTCCGGCTCCTGCCTATCCTGCCCCGGGAAAGTCGCGGGAGGGACCAACGAGGGCTGGTGGGCGGGGCTTCCATCTCTCCCCCGCCCCGCCTCTCTAAGGATTGGCTGTGGGCTTGGGAGTCCCCACCTTCCTGGGTCTGCGCCTGCGCGTGGGCCATGGCAGCCGGGCGCACCTGAGGAGGGTAGGAGGCGGTGGTGTCCCCTTCCTTCCCTGCGGCGGGCGGGAGAGTTAGGTAAGCCGGCGGCATGTACCTCACGCTCGCCCGGGGCGGGTGCAGGTCCTCTTTCGACTGCCGCGGTGGCCTCCGGAGCGCCACGCTTCCTGCGGACCAGAAGATGTCCGTGCGCGGGACGTACCCTCTGGGATCCCGGCATCGGTCCGTCACTGCGTCCGGTCAGCGCCCTCTCTCTCTCTCTCTCTCTCTCTCTCTCTCTCTCTCTCTCTGTCTGTCTGTCTGTCTGTCTCTGTCTCTCTCCCTCTCCCTCTCTCTGTCTCTCTCCCTCTCTCCTCCTCTCCCCTTCTCTCCTCTCCTCTCTTCTCACTCACTCTCTCTTTCCTCTCTCCTCTCCTCTCCTTCTCTCTCTCTCTGATGACGCCCCTCACTGCCCACACTCCCCGCCTCCCTGTTGGGGCAGCATCCCGAGCCAGCCTGGGGTGGGGTTGAGCTGCGCTCCACACCTGGGCAAAGGAGGGCTTGGGAGCAGCCGCACCTTCTGACCGGCTTGCGTCGGATCGCGACTCCAGTTGGTGACTTCCATAGGTCTGGAGTGCTGGGGGACCTCGGGACCCGCCAGTGTCGGCCATAGCACCATCCAGCAAGCCTTGGCGTTTGGGTACCGCTCGCTGTGCGAGATCAGCATCTGTAGGTGGTCCAGAAGCGCTCTCTGCTCAGAGGATGGATTCCCTATCTCCCCCCTCCTCCCACCTGCCTGACCCTGGCACTGGAGGGAAGAATCCAAGCTTTGCCATTTATCCCTTCCTCTCCGGACCCCTGCAGGATGTCTTCATGTTGAGGAGGCTATGCTTGAAATGGCTATAGTGTGTGTAACCTTGGCCATGTCTGCTAACTTGTTCCTCCAGTTTGCTTAATCAGTAGTATCGTATTTGCCTTTGAAAACGATTGTGTGAATTAAACAAGGGTTGATAGAACGATGCCCACACTTGGACTTTTACTTTTCAGGCCAGTTCCTCTTCCCTGCTGTGTGGATGTTTCTGTTTGGGCGGGATTTTTACCACTATGTAACTTGTATTACTTTTTTAGTTCTTTCTTAATTTTAACCAATATAACCTATAATTAGGTCAAAGATATTATATAGAGACCGTAAACGTTTGTTTCTCCTCCCACCCATGTGCTTTTTGACTAGAACATAGCGTCTGTGACAGTGTTATTTTGTTTTTCCAGGAGCTTTCCCTAGTTTAACATAATGACCATGTAAATATTGTTCTCAACACCATTTATATATCCAAGTGTGTATTTGGTTGGGCATTTAAGAACTAGAATGATTTCATCTTCCTGATCTTGGCCAAAATAAAGGGAAAAAAAAGTAAAATTAGTTGCTTCTTCGTCTCTAATGCATGCCCCCGTTGCAGAAATCAGTCATGAATATTTAAATTTTTTACCGAATTTTTTAAGGCTCTGAAAGATATTTGTATCATATTAGAAAAAATCTAAAATGACAGAATATAAACTCTGTCTTCTGTTCTTTGAAAAAATATATTGTCCATAGAAAATTATTAGTACAAGGCTTATTTTTAGAGTATCCAAGTGTTTGGGACATGGAAAAAAAATCATTACATGTTTTTCTTAATTTCTTTTCTACTAGATAGCTACTCAAGAAAACACCATGAAAGATACTGACATCAAGAGACTGCTGTATTCCAATCTTTTGTGTATATTTTCAGTTTTCTTAAGCATTTTTATTCCATCCCTCTTCCTGGATAACTTCTCAATACTGGAAACTCACCTGACTTGGCTGTGTACGTGTTCTGCTTCTGTGACTGGTGTCAATCTCCTGTTACATTTAGTAGTGAAACCAAATGTGTCTTCTAGAAGAAGTTCCTTATCACACAAGGTAAGGCTTACTTATTAATAACCAGTTTTGAGATGGAAGTAATAGCGTAAGAATGAAGCATTGTGCTGGGCCTTGGTGGTGCATGTGTTTAATCCCAGCACTCAGGAACCAGAGGCAGGTGGATCTCTCTGAGTTCCAGGCTAACCTGATCTACAGAGCTAGTTCCAGGATAGCCAAGGCTACATAGGGAAACCCTGCCCTGAAGGAACAAAACAAAGAATTAAGTATTGTTATATCCTTATTGAGTTATTTACAGCATATAAAGAGAACCAAATCCACCCCAAAGCAGTAGCCTGTCACCTACAATGTTTAATAGATCTTTGTTATGCATTAATTGTGGAATTATGATACCTTCAGTGCATCACAATATAAATAACACCTTGTATAGTCATTGTTTACCTTGGATAGTCATTGTTTTATATCATCACTGAAGATAACGTATAAGACACTGCAGTTTATTTTTTAGTTTTTTAGTTTTTCGAGACAGGGTTTCTCTGTATTGCTTTGGAGCCTATCCTGGAACTGGTTCTGTAGGCCAGGCTGGCCTCGAACTCAGAGATCTGCCTGCCTCTGCCTCCAGAGTACTGGGATTAAAGGCATACGCCACCAATGCCTGGCCTATTTTTGTACTTTTTAGTGTGTTGAGTAGGTGGGTGGGTTACACTGTGTGCAAATGCATGGGGAGGCTGGGGAACAACTTCATCTTTAGAAACACTGCCCACCTGCTCCACACAGTGTCATTCATTGTCCTGGAGCTTACCAATTAGGCTAGACTGGCTGGCCAATGAGCACCAGAGATCCTTCCATCTCTCCCCAGTGCTGGGATAAGTGTGCCCTCAACTCAGGTCCTTTTTGCTTATTGACAGGTGTCTCCAGCCTGTGTATATTTTAAAAATTTATTTTTTAATTCTTTGATAGCTTTATACAGGTGCACAAAGTTTTTTTGATCATATCCATCCCCTACTCTACTCCTAATCTCTGCCCAACTTCATATCCTTTTTGTTGTTGTTCTTGTTATAACCTCCAGAGTCCCATATCTGCACAGATGTGAGGCCATCCACTGGAGCATGGCCAACCCACCAGGGACCGCACTTCTAAAGAAAACTGACTTTCTTTGCCTTAGTAGTCATCAGCTGTCAATAACTCCCTCAGCTAGGGGTTGAGGCCTTCCTTAAACAAGAAGTGAGTTTTCCAGAAATTGCAAATTAAGTCATCGTAACTGTTATTCCACATGTGGCTTTCCTTGACTAAACAGTTAAAAGTTTTCAGATATTAGAATCCATATTTTTTCCAGAATAATCACTGTTCTATGACATTTGACAATTAACATTCAGTTAAAATCCTCACTGAACATTCAATACTACATATAACTCCCTCTTAGAGTGTTTTAGACTGACTTACAGTTTAAAACATTAATATGTGTTTTATAATCATATCATCTTGAGTTTCAGATCAAGTGTGTTCCAGGCATGGACCTATTTGTAGATCTTTAAGTCTTTTTTTTTTTAAAATACTATTTATACAGCAATAGGAATATGATTTTGGAAATTATTTACTATTTTGCTTTTTTGATGTAAATTCCTCAGTTTTGTTTTAAAATGAAAGAAAAGTATAGTATTCAGTATTTTCTGTAGGTAATTCATGTGTCTTTACATAATAAGGTCACTGTGGTTTTTGTATCCTAACACTCTATTATTAACATTTCTTAAGTATTAAAAATATTATAATCATACTACATAAACAGAAATCAATTTTGGCTTTTATGCAGGTGTGGGATAGAGTATATTTGTATGATACTTGTTTTTTAAATTAAAAAAAATATTTAGTGTGTGTGTGTGTGTGTGTGTGTATGCATGCAACACAGCTTCCATATTAAGGTCAGAGTGTGTTCCCTACTTCCATCATGTGGGTCCCAACAGTTGAACTCAGGTCATCAGGCTTGGAGGCAAGGGCCTTCACCCGCTGAACCATCTTGCTGGCCCTGTCTTTGAAGTTTTTTGCAGTCTGTTTTGAGGACTGTTTATTCGATAAGATGTGATCGGATTTGAAGTTATCCAACAAAGAATGTCCAGCTGTTTCTGAAGTTATGGGAACAAGTTATATTTGTATGTAAAACGGCAGAATTTGTAGCTTTTTAAGTAGTTTCTTGAGTCTTCAACTTCTTCCTTCTCTTTTAGGTGACCAGAGTTTTGAAATGCTGCATCTACTTTCTTCTGTCTTGTTTTTTCCTTCATATCATTTTTGTTCTATATGGAGCACCACTAATAGAGTGAGTTCTGAATGCTTATGTTTTCATGTATTAATTTACTAAATGATATGCTAACTTTTTTTTGATATGCTAACTCTTAGCAACTCTAGTATAACCATAGTGGGTTTGATTAATGGATCAAGGTAGAAAGCTCTATTATTGTCCTATTTTTAGTACTGTTAAAAACATCGAGACAACTTAATTCTTCACATATTTCTGTTTTTTAGCTTTCTGAAACCTAACTGTACTTCATAAACACTATATATATAATAGTAATTAATGTATGGCTATGAAAAACCTCTAGATGTCCAACCTTTTGACATTACAACACAATATGGTCATCTGCAAAATTGTATTTAAGAACCCTGTGATGATCATATTACCAAAATCTGACAGTGTTATAAGTTTATGATTTGGAATATATCCATAGCTATCCTTGGATGAAGGACACAGGCTAGACATGCCTTGATTTATGCAGGCAACTCACTATTGTGATATGTGTAAATTGGTTATAAATAGTATTTCAGTGACTCAAATATGACTAGAGAGTGTCTGAATTTATTTTCTTCAGGGACATAGATTCCTTTATCAAATATCAACGTTTATATTAAAATTTAACAGTCTTTAAAACTGGACAAATTTCAAATTAGTGGGACCTAAATTCACAAATGTTTGTTACATGATACATTTCATTTTAGCAGTGATTAAATGATCATGGTGAAGTGAGTGATTATACATTCTCACACACACACACATAAAGCTACAGATGCAGACACACAGACACAGTTGTACACACACAGTAAACTAACAGATCATTCTATTTTAGACAGGACAGAAAAGTCTTTGTCATAGAAAATGGTTTTGTCTAATCCATCTTAAGAGAATCAGTGAAAAGACAATGTGTTTCATAGTTCAAAATTTTATCAAAACACAAATTGTTAGACTTCAATCAGAAACTCTTGAGGTGTAACTATCTTTAGTTTTAGTCGCTTCATAAAAAGAAGCAGTTCAACTGTAGGAGTTCTGGAGATTGTTAAGGACGAAAACTTATTATCTAAAACTGAGTGTTTTGGTTATTTTGTTTTGCAAGAAGGCCTCAGTATGGATCTTTAGATTTTTAACATTTTTGAAATTTATGATTAAAAGCAGGTAATTTGCTAGGACGTTTCTGAAGCTTGTCGAATAATTTAGTCTTATTTAGTGGCTCTTAGGTAGTTTTCCCAACTAAAGTATAAGAAGATATTCGTATAGAGAACACACTTAGAAAGATGACTCATGCCTGTGAATACATGTACCTCTAATACTTCTGAAACATGAACAGATTTTCTTTTTGATCCTAGGTTGGTGTTGGAAACATTTTTATTTGCAGTTATCTTGTCTACTTTTACTACAATTCCTTGTTTGTGTTTGCTAGGACCAAATCTCAAAGCATGGCTGAGAGTTTTCAGTAGAAATGGGTAAGTTTAACATTCATACTTTAGTGACATTCAAGACCTAAAGAAGCATTTTCTATTTGTGTTGGTGTAGTCATCCTCTCAGTGTCTCGAGGCACTGTCCAGCTCTCAGATGTCAAAAGGGCCAGTGCTCTTGGAGAATAGAGGCTGGAGGCAGACAGTGTGAGAGAACCCCAGACAGAGAGAACTACAGCCCCTGCCTCCACATTAGCAAGATAAAGTACTACAAGTATAACTGCTTCTGTGCATTTCCTAATGTAGAAATGAAGTCCATAATCTAAAAATATTTTGTCTAAGCATCCCTTGGTTGGTCTTTTTGTGGCAAGATCTGAGAGTACAGGCTTTACCAGATTTCATTTCTGTAGCTGCCATTCATATATTTGCAGCATAACTAAGTTGAAGTCTTAGCTTCCTTAAAGCCATTGAGATGATACATACGAAAAATGGTTAATTTTTAACTAAGAAAACCAGGTGAGTTAGTTAGTTCTCAACGGCTTTGTCCTATTTATAACCCAGCGGCAAAACTTCTTGAGCATTTCCTCTGTGTTGTACCTTCTGCTAGCTCTTTGTGGATTACAGAATGCCCAGATTTCCCCAAAGAGCCATGTGTTCAAGGGCTATGAATGAAAAGAGCAGATGAATGGCTAACGTGCAATAATCCCACAATCAGCGCTGTAGGAGTAGGGGAGTAGCAAAGAACGGGGCTAAGGGGGCTGATCTGTGGTGGATTGGATCAGAAATACAGGCTTTGATGAAACCAAAAGAGGTATATCTTGTGCAGGGTGCTGGAGGGAGCATAGAAACTGAAGTAAGCTTGGTGTTTGTGTAAACAGCAGCTGAAGGAGAGCAGAGGACAGGCTCTGGGCAGCCTATCTCTGTAAGTTACATTTTTCTTTGATAATGAATAGTTGTTATTTTATATATGTAGGTATAGCTTTGGCTTCACTGTGTTTTATTTCTTTTTTTTTTTTTTTTTCTGTAATGGCTGTCTACTCGTAAAGTTCTTAGGAACAAAAGCATATCAACTGAATATCCCCCTGCATTATTATCGTCATATCTCCAATGGAATTAGTTTATTTCAGTTTGAGAATTTTAAATATGGAAACTGGCTGAAACTTTAATGGTTGATAATGATCAGTGTGGCTTTAAATTGTGTGTCAAAGTTAGATATGTAAGGGACCCATTGTAATCTGTTTATATAGATGGTTCTTCTGTCACTTGACCTATGTGTTCTAAAACTTACTGTACTTTGCAAAAATTGGCCAGTATGGGAAGGATGGAGTTATAGACATAATGCTTGGAGACTTCATATATGACAGGAGAAAGGCTAGGAACTTAATAAAAATGGTAGCACAGTTTTATACTGAAATCGTTCAGAAACATAAATATTACGTTAAATAATATTCTTTTCCTAGGAAAAGGTTTGACATTTGTTTCTTGTCAGTTATTGTGAAGTAGTGAAAGATGGGTATTGGAAATCTGACCAAGAATTAACACCAGATGTGGATGAACATAGCTCATGATATATTAAGTAAACTGATATAGTTGGGAAATATGTTTACATATATTTTCTAAATTTATTTATTTGTGTGTGTATGCACATGTGTGCATATATGTGTGGGTGCTGTGTGGATGTCAGAGAATAACTGCAGAGGTTGTTTCTTTCCTTTCATTACATGGGTCCCAGTGATTGCACTCTGGTTGACAGGTTTGGCAGAAAGTGTCTTCACCTGCTGTGTTAGTTAGGTTTCTTTTGCTGCAATAAAACATTATGACCAAAAGCAGCTGGGGAAGGAAAGGGTTTATTCAGCTTACCTGTTCCAGTCATAGTTTATCATTGAGGGAAGTCAGGGCAAGAACTCAAGATAGGAATTGAAGCAGAGCCATGGAAGAATGCTGCTTACTGGCTTTCTCTTCGTGGCTTGCTCAGTTTGCTCTCCTGTACACCTTCTTGCCCAGGGATGGCACTACCCACAGTGGCTAGGCCCTCGAAAATCAATCATTTATCAAGAAAATGTCCTCGAGTCTTGCATACAGGCCAGTCTGATGGAGGCGTTTTCTCAATTGAGGTTCCCTCTTGATATGATGTAAACTCGTATCAAGTTGACAAAAAACTAGCCAGCACATCTGCTGAGCCATCTTGCAAGTTCATGGGAGATACATTTTTAAAAACAATATTGAGATAAGATTCACACCCTGTTTCTGTCTCTAAGCAACCGTGAATCTTGTTGGTCTCTCAGTAGGGTTGCCTGTTTCGGGCATTTCATTTGAATGAGTCATACAATTTGTGATCTTTTGTAACTGATTTCTCTTACTTAGCATAGTGTTTTCAAGGTTCATTCATGTTACAACATGAATACAGCATGTATTGATACTTAATTTCTTTCTGTAGTAGTATTAGGGGTTAAACCCTGGGCCTCATGTGCAGGAGGCAAGCAATCTACCAACTGAGCTACATCCCTAGCACCATTTAGGTTAAGAAGAAAACCCACAAAGCTTAAAGCTGTTGTACTGATGAAACAGTTATGTCTGAAGGTGGAAGGGGGGAAGAGGTAGACCCGTGGATCTCTGAAGAATGCACAAATTGATGATGTAATGGTTATCTCGAGGAAAACATCTGAGAAGCTAGTTCATAAGCTGAAGAGACTTTTCATTGAAACCTTTTAGCTAGCTTGTGAAATTTGAGCCCTATTCAGAATACGAACAATGATTAAATACTGAATTGATCTCTTGATTATTAGACCTGTAGGAGGAAGCTGCTAGGTTTCTCAGATGACACTGAAAAATCACTGGACTATAAAAGCTACCTTTCCAAAATTTCCAATGTACAATTGGTTGAAGAACAGGCAATTGGTAAACTGCTAGAAGACCTTGACTAAAAAGAATCAGTTTGTAATACAAACCACTCCATTTACTATCGTTTAGGATATGACATGAAATAATAATGAAGTAAAAATCAAACAAAACCAGCTTTTAGTAACATAAAGCATGTTCATGAACTTTGTATTAGTCCACAGAGACATTTCACCATGTTCTTTATGAAGATACTGGGGATCTAAGCAGGGTGAACTTGCTCAAGTTCCACAGTCAGTAAGCAATGGAGCTGGAGCTTGAATTCAGAAATAAGATGCCAGCAGTTCAAGTCAGAAAGCAGATTCGTGCCCTTTCTTACATAGTGGCCATCTCAGACAAGCCTCTTAGCTCCATGAATTCTCCTATGTAATATGATCAAAATAAAGTGAATATGTCCTCTTCAGGCTTATTGCTGGAGTGAGTAAGACAATGAGTAAAATCAAAGAGCAAGTGCTCAAGGAATGTTTATCAAGTCATATCTCCAACCCTGACTACAGTTTGTCTCTGTAATTTTGTTTGGCTTTTAAGTAACAGACCGACAAGTGTAGTGCATAGGTAACACAGAGGAGAATACGGCTTTGCCAGTTAGTTCAGTGTGGCGTGCCCATGGACCTGTCAGAGTGGAGCAGAAGTTTTATGTCTCCATATTCATTAGTGTAATTAGAAGCATTGGAATGAACCTAAGATGTTGAGGGTGATCAGGTCTATTTTGAATTGACATCTCACCCCTCTTCAAATCAATTAAACAGTTTATACTACTTTTAAGAGAAATAGCCAAGTTTTAATTTATTTATTTGTTTTTATGTGTATGGGTGTTTTGCCTTCATATATGTCTGTACACCACATGAATCCCTAGTGTGTGGAAGCCAGAAGGAGGTAGTCAGATCCCCCAGGATCCTAGTAGCATGTGGGTGCTGGGAATCAAACCTGGGTCCTCTGGAAGACCATCAGTGCTCTTAGCCACCGAGTCCCCTCCAGCCCCTAGGTTTAATGTATTTATTTGCAAGTTCATATAAATTCTGTGCTCAGCTGAAAATGTGAACATTTTGAGTTTGAAGATTGAGTCTTATATCCTGAGAATAAAGGATCAATTCTGATACTTTTGAAATTTAGACATACTTAATTTCATTATCTTAACAGGGTTTTTCGGTAAAGTTATTCCAGAATAGTCAATGAAATCACTGCTGAGAGGATGTTCTTGTAAAAAACTGATGGAAAAAAAAGTAACTTGGTTTCTTAAAATATTTTTACCAGCTTCTTGTTGGTAATGCATAATATTGGGTATACTTGATTTGTCAGAGTTTGATTTTGTTTGTTGCCTTGTATTTATCACAATTTGTGTTCTTTTCACTTGCAGATTGTTTTATAAAAGAGAGTAGTAACCTATCATAGGCCTTGTTTTATAGGGAAGTTTGCCTTTTGATTTGTCAGTTTGTTGATGCTGTTGTTTAAGTGTATGAGTTAGAGCTTAGTCACTTCAGCTAAATAAGTTCCTAATTAGGACAGATGCTCAGATCAGTGGTCTTGTCAAGGTGAAAGCACACAGTGACACCTGTCTTCTAGATGCAAGCAGTTCTCTTTTTGTCATCTTTATATTGATAAAGATTTTATATTGAGAAAACTACCATGGACATCAAGAGCCAAAGATTTACTCGTATGAAATTAGGTAACTTAGTCTGAATGTAGTCACATAAACTTAACAAAGATTTTAATATCTTATTAAAATTTTATTTGGTGGGGAACATTTATGCCGAAAATTGTGTAAAATAGTTTTAGCCACCAGGAGGAGTTGTACCCTCCTTTCCTTAGATCAAATCCTTAAATATATTTTGATGAGACCCTATCTAAGACACACATGCTTACTGTTCATTGACATACACAGGAGGCACTCAAAGTGGCATATTTCAGTTGATATTTCACATAATGAATTTCAGTGAAATCAAATAATATGGGCAGGTACGTAGGCCTTATTGTCATGAAGAGTGACCTATAACATTTCTTTAGTTACCTTAAAATTTTATTCAGAGCATAACAATAGGCCATTTAGTCTGTTCTCAGCCCTACTGATTATGTGCAAATATTTTATAATTATGACAGTACTTGCAGTGATAACATACTTTAGACAAGTTTATTATGGAAACCTATGGAAT